GGGCCCAGGTGAAGGGCCTAGTGTGCGCCTCCCACGTGCCAGACCATCCACAGGCATCAACACATAGCATTTCGAACCACGAGCGCACAATAGTTCAATCACAAGCTCCTGGGTCGGATCCACCACTGCCAGAGCGGGCGGCGGCGGAGGAGGCGCAGACGGAACCCTGTCCAACCGATCCCAGAAGGCACGCTCCAAGACGAGCGAAGGAGCAGCAGCGAGAGCAACGGTGGCAAAGGCCACGACCGAAATCAGCGCGGTCGCGGCGAGCCTGCACCGCCACCGGGCGTGAGCAGGGACCGCCGATATCATCGCCGCAATCCGCTCCGCCGCTTTGCTTGCCTCCGGAAATAAAAGGATCTCGATAAGATAGACGTGGATCCCAGTCCTTCGGGCGGCGAGCGGCTTTGCGCCGCGCCCGTGCTCCCGCACAGGCGGGCGTGCACGAGGGGGTGGTGACCTTGCCGGAGCGGCCCGAGGGCATTGGCGACGACAGAATAATGTCCATCGCGTCGCACTCCACTCCGACGCCGCTGAATGATGCGCTGCCTCGTGAACTCGTCCGTCTCGCGTTGCAGCAACTGCATCGTGCGTGTCCCTTCGCGCCAGCACCTCACGTGTGCACATCGTGGCGAGACTTTTACGGCGAGAAGGACTTCTGGCTGCAGCTGTGCTCGCAGTGGCCGTCGAGCCTGAGAATGAAGCTGCCACGCCCGTCAGAGTTCAGCGTAGCCCACGCGCGCGGCCTCTATCTCGCCTATGCACGTGGCCTCGATGGTCGCTACGATCGCGAGTCGCCTCCCACGCCGCTCGGCGATCTGTTTGGCAACGTGACGGATCTCAATGACCCTCCGTGGCCGGCTGCGCCCTGAGGGAGGGTGTAGAGGATGTAGAGTGTAGAGCGCTGTAGAGCTGTAGAGATGTAGAGCGCTCCGGAGTGCTGTAGAGCTGTAGAGCTCTACATCCGCCGCGGGACGAAGCGGGTGCGTTGTAGAGCGATGTAGAGGCTCTCTACAACGTGAAATCTCTACAACAAACTCTACATCGTAAGCTAAAAGTACGTCTACATCATAAGCGGCGAACGAGGCACGGTCGCTCTCCGACATTAGGCGCGTTGCACTTGCCAGTGCTGCCCTGGCCTTCTGTCTGCCCGCCCAATGGGTGGCAGGTGCCTCTGCTGCTGTGGCATGCCTCACGGCTACGACTGGCCGGCGCCTCGGCGCGTCAGCTCGGCTCGGCGTAGCGATCGTAGCCAGCGCAACTCGCCTGGACTCAACGCTCAGCCAGGAGCTCCCGCACACGCTGGCGCGAGTCATGGCGCATGCAACGCGTCTGAATGCTCGCCCCGCCTCGCGCAAATGCGACCGCCCTCGCAGCCGACAGTCCACCGCCT